TTGCAAAACATGTGTAGATGTCAACGCTTAGGTAATTTAGGCCCAAGAAATCAAATGCCCCAAAATCCGATTTTATTTGTTGAGATTTTTTATGTATGGGGTATTGATTTCATGGAACCCTTTCCGTCTTCTTATGGTTACTTTTATATCTTACTTGCTGTTGATTATATGTCTAAATGGGTAGAAGCAAAGGCCACCCAGATTAATGATTCTAAAGTTGTTGTAGATTTTGTAAAATCTAACATTTTTGCAAGGTTTGGAACACCTAGAGCCATCATTAGTGACGGGGGCACTTATTTTTCCAACCGTACATTTTGGGCTACCTTGAAGAAATACAACATCACCCACAAGATCTCTACGCCATACCACCCATAAACGAGTGGACAAGCCGAAGTCTCTAATCGGGAAATCAAGTCCATCTTAGAGAAGACCATGAATCCAAATAGGAAAGATTAGAGCTTGCGACTTGGCGATGCATTATGGGCGTATAGGACAGCATATAAGACACCAATTGGAATGTCCCCATTCCGAATGGTTTATGGTAAACCATGTCACCTTCCCGTTGAATTAGAGCATAGAGCCTATTGGGCAATTAAGCAATGCAATATGAAACTAGACGCAGCGAGAGAACAACAAAAATTGCAATTGAATGAACTTGAGGAGATACGGAATGAAGCTTATGAAAGTTCACGCATTTACAAAGACAAAACAAAGGCCTTCCATGATAAAATGATCCAGCGAAAGCATTTTGAAGCTGGACAAAAAGTTCTTCTATTCCATTCACGTCTTAAAATTTTTCCTGGTAAGTTACGTTCCCGTTGGGTTGGTCCTTTTGTGATTACTAATGTTTTTCCCAATGGTGCAGTGGAAATTAAGAGCATAAAGACAGGGAAAGACTTCAAGGTCAATGGCCATCGTCTAAAGCCATACTACGAGCCATTCATGGAACAATTGGATGAAGTACCTCTCCATGAACCAACGGACATGGACGGTTAAGCAAAGAACAATGTCAAGCTAACGACGTTAAACAAAGCACTACATGGGAGGCAACCCATTGAGTTGTGTTAGTTTTTGTTTTTCCTAATGATTTTTGTTTAATACCGATTAATAGAGCAATGAGGACATTGCCCAATTTAGGTTGGGGGTGGGACATAGAAATATTAATTCTTTGGTATGTCTAAGTATGTGTTTACATTTGTGTGTTTGCATTTGTTGTTGCTGTTTTTTTTTTTAGTGTTTGCATGATTTTAGGATTAAATTTTTTTAGTTTTTCGAATTAATTTATGTGTCAATGATATGATTATAATTGTGATAACATGTGATGTTTAGAAGATGTTAAATGTTGCTTAGATTTAGGAGCAATTTTGAATAATTAGTTTCATCTAGTTTGAGACTCTCATGCTATGTGGTATGATTTAGTTGGTTAGTCTTAAGGCTTAGTGACGTTTGTTATGTATGAATTTTCATAGACATTTTTGCGATCTCAACAAATTCTAGAACTCACTTGATAACTAATTGAGGCGAAATCCTAGAATGCACATTACTTAGGATATGATTTAGGCTATCTTTGGATCATTTGAGTATTTCAAGCCAACCCTTTATTTAAATTATCGCTAGTTACCCCTTTGACTGTAACGCCCCACTTGAGGTACATACTTAAGATTTGCTGTTTTGCTTAAATATTTACTGATTCAGCTTTAATTGAGTTTGTGCATTGAGTTGGTTGAGTGTTTGCCTTGAAATTGGTTNTTGAAAAGTGAGCCTATGGAATTTGATTCTATACATTATATTATATTTTTAAAATTTTGAGATCAATTCTTTGTTTGTGAAGTTTGTGCATGTGATCATCTGGGTTTTGAGATTAACAGGTTTGTGGAATGATTGATGTGTGAGAGTTGATAATGAAAATGAAATTGATTTTTGAGTTACCTTTGGGCTTGGGTGACGAGTAACTATTCTTTATGTTATGTGTTGTACGCAATTTTTTGGGACGAATGTATATCCGGAGACTAATGTTTTGCTTGTTTGTTTATAATTTTCGAGTCTAGGTTAGGTTTAGTATGGATGTTTGTGGGTATCATCGCTAGAAACCCTCACGAGACTACAACTCGTCCAACTAGGGCCACCTAGGGGTTTAAAGGCTTGTTGCATATGCTAAATGCAACCGTGACAATCTAAGGAAGTGATTTGGGGTAGATTAGATTTATGTTTAGTTTATTTTAATTTTCAAGCTAGAAGACATATTTTTATCGCTTAGCTTGCTAGGGACTAGCAAGAATCTGGTTGAGGGCTGTGATAAGTGCTTGAAAATACACTTATACTTAGTGGTTTATAGGTATCATTTGTTGGAAATTAGGATTAATTCGCATGAATTAACTTAATTGTTTTATAAAAGCACTTTTCGGGATCACGGGTATTTTTGTTGTGTTTTTAGGGAATAAGGCTCAAAAATAATATTTGGATGAGAGATGATGTTTACGAGAGAATTTGTGATGACTGCAAACAAACGGATCGAGAATCGGAGTTGAATTGAAGAAGTTATGGAAGTTGAAGTAAAGAGAAGATTCTAGATTACGTTCCAGCTTGAGCATGCCTCGGTATTTTAAGAATATCTTGATATGTAGAACTCGGATTAAGACGATTATTAGACCATTGGAAATCTGATTCAAAGGACTACATTTCATATGTTTACTACTTTTCCAAATTTCATTGTTATCGAGTCTAAAAATCACCATTTCTGAAGAACAGTGGAATGATGCTTGAAGAAGACCTGTAGCTACTGTGCCGCGGCACACTTTTTCCAGTAGCTACTATGCCACAGCATAGTGCCACGGCACAGTCACAATAGTTGGGAACTTCTCCTTCGTTTTTTACTAGGAAAATAGGGTTTTAAGAGTCCTAAACTAACTAGAATTAAGGAAAACAAAACCCCTAACCCTTGTGGGATATAAATAGAAGTCTTTTAGCATTATTTACTAGGGAATTCTTTTAGAGATAAAGAAAAGAGAGAACAAAGATTATTGAAGAACTGAAGGAAAAGGGAGATTAAAGAAGGCTTGGAGAAGAAGAATTGGAGGAGATCATCATCAACTTCATTAATCCAACCAAGTTTCACTAAGTTTTTTCTTCTTCTTTGTTATTATTATTTGTTATGAATAATACAATGATGTTCTCATATTTATTCATGAAGAACTAATTCTTTTGTGATTGAGGGTGATTTCAAAACCCTAGACATGTCTTGTGTTCAATAAAATCTGCATCTTTTTATCTTTTGATCCCTCTTGGTTATGTGATTATTTCTCTGTGAATAGGGTTTAGATAGATTGTCTTAATTGCTTAAGTGGCCAATTAAATCGTTACGATTAATCTATTAATGCCAATTGAGGTTGTTTAGTACGGAATCGATTTATTAACCTAAATAACTAGTGGTAAAGTGTATGCCTGCATACATGGGGGGTAATCACTCGAGATAACTAAACCGACCATACGAGTTTAGCCTTGATTCAGTAGGTCTCTAGCAACTTAATGCTTTTATTACTTTGAATCTAGAGATCGTATCCTAGGTTATCTAATAAATAGGGAATTGGGTTATGACCGTGTCTAATCCAACGACTCAGTAAGGAGAGATAGAACTTATCAACGTTTGGTATTTTCTGAGCTGATGTGATTAAGAGGGTAGAAAGTTAAAGAGTGCTTTTCTTTTATGTAATTCATGTCTAATGGTGGCAAATAAACCTTCAATCCAATTTCTCTTATTGATTTATCTATCATCATTAATTGCTTGATTTACATTGTTTGCTTTGAGTTCTTTTTAGTATTTGTTGAGATTTTATAATTCATGACAAACCCCATTAGAAGTAGATAATTAATTAAGTTCACAAATCCTCTGCGGGAAAGACCCTTACTTGCTCTTTGCTACTACACGACTTTGCATTAGAATTTAGTGAGGTAAAATTAGGTGTTGCATTTGCACGCATCACCCAACCTGACTCCTTAGCACAATACTAGTTGGCTAGAGATAGAAGCAGAAGAGACATCAGGCCACCAACGAGATACTCATATGCTAACCTAATCTACATAGCCTTAGTGGCTGGGGCACAAGTGCAGAAGACATAACCAGACTGCTATGAAGAAGCAGTCGATCCAAAGACAGAGATAAATGGCAGGTTGTAATGGAAGAAGAGATGTTGTCTTTAAAGGTAAATGGAACCTGGTCTTTGGTTCCAAATCCCAAAGACCAAAAATTGATTGCCTGCAAGTGGTTATTTAAGCTCAAAAAAGGTATGAATGCTTCTGACCGTCCTAGGTATAAGGCTAGGTTTGTAGCCAAAGGCTACACATAAAGGGAGGGAATATATTTTAATGAGATATTTTCACTTGTTGTCAAGTACAAAACCATTAGACTCGTGTTAGCTATAGTTGCACATCAGGACTTAAAACTAGAACAACATGATGTTAAGACTGCATTTTTGCATGGCAACCTAAAAGAAAGAATTTACGTGAAACAGCCTACTAGTTTTGTAGATAGAAACCTTCCCAATCATGTGTGCCTGCTGCATAAGTCCTTGTATGGGCTGAAACAGTCTCCTAGGTAGCGGTACAAACATTTTATGCATTTATTCTTAGCATTGGTTTTAATAGGAGAGCAAATATGATAGTTCTTTCTATTATGTCCTAAATGATGATATGCCTTTGTATCTCTTGCTATATGTTGATGACATGCTTTTAATCAGTAAATCCAAGTCCATAATAGAAGAGTTAAAGAAAAAACTAAATTGTGAGTTTGACATGAAAGATTTAGGTTGTGCTAAGATAATTCTAGGTATGGTCATACATAGAAACAGAAATAATCATGAACTGAAAATTCATCAGAGTTCTTATTTGCAGAAATTAGTTTCTAAGTTTGGCATTGCTCGATCAAATTAGTGACAGTGCCTTTAGCTAGACATTTCATATTAAGCAAGTCTCAATGCCCAAAGTCTGATGTTGATTTAATAAAAATGGAGAATGTCCCTTATGCAAATGCAATTGGGTCAGTCATGCATACTATGATAAGCACCAGACCTGACCTTTCTTTTACTATTTCTCTTTTAAGTAGTTTATGTCAAACCCTAGTTTTGAACACTGGTTTGCTTTTAAATGGTTGCTTAGATACATAAATAGCTCTTTACATGTTAGCCTAGATATTGTAAAATATGTGACTCACTTGATCTTGTAGGCTTTGTAGATTCTGATTTTACAAGTGACAAAGATACAAGGAAGTCAACCACAGCTTACCTCTTTACTGTGGGAGGAAATTGCGTGAGTTGGAAATCCCAGCTCCAACCAATGGTTCCTTTGTCCTCAACTAAGGCAGAATATGAGGCTATGGCAGACATTTTCAAGGAATCATTATGGCTTCAAGGACTTTTGTCAGAAGTGGAGCTGCTTGAAACGGCAGTTACTGTCTATTCAGATAGCTAGAGTGCCATACATTTGAGCAAGAATCCAGTCTACCACGAAAGGACCAAGCATGTAGACTTAAGGTATCATTTTGTGAGAGAACTAGTGGACAAAGGTGTAGTCAATCTGAAAAAGGTAGCTACAGAGGACAACCGTGCGGATATGGGGACAAAGGTAGTCACCACTACCAAGTTCAAGCACTGATTGAACCTGCTACATGTCAAGTGAACATTAGTAACAAAGCTGTGAAGAGTTATTTGTGGGTAAGCTGCACTAGTGAGTTTTTGGAATTTATGGTGTTTTAAAGCTTCAAGGTGGAGATTATTAAGTGAAGCTTTAAATCGATGTCATTTGAATTTGCCTATATGCTACCATTTTGAAGACATACAACTATTGATATGTAAAACCCCCGTTAGTGTTCCGATGCTATAAGGTATGTAATTCTACTCTTAAAAGGATTTTTATCAATAAAAGGGTAAAATGGTCATTTTGTATGCATTATGAGACGTGAATGTTGTAAAGTGTTAGGAATTGATGATACTGATAAGAAATATGGTTAAAGGGTCATGAAGGAGGTTAGTAGGGTTAAACGGCATAAACGGTTCCCAAGGGGTATAATGGTATTTTCACAATAATTTATAGGAATCAAGTATCCATAAAAGTGTATTATGGGTAAATTAGTTAATTATCTTATGGATTTACTTGGTCACCAAGTAGAAAAAAGAAGTCAAATGGCATTAAAGGAGTGTAATAATTATGTTGTGGTGGAAATGACTAAAATGCCCTTATATGCAAAATTTATACCAAATGACTCATATCTCTAACTTTTGATGGCCAATCCCATTTGGGAATTAAAAAAATGAAATATTTATAAGATATTTTCTTGGTTAAGTCGGCCAACACTCTTATAACACCAAACTCTCTTCTTCAAGTCTTATTTTCCTCCATTAAAGGCTTTAATTCAAGCTCTCTCTCTCAAAATTTTCATAGGATTTCAAGTTGAATTTCGAAGGAGATCACCATCCACACTTAAAGAACTTCAATTTCAAGGTTTAAGGTGAGTTTCAAAACCCTAGTTTGTTGTGATTTTTAGTTAAAAGAGAAATTCATAAGTGGTTTGTGTGTAAGGTAGAAAGGGTGAACCTTTGGAGCTAAGGAGGAGTGTCTTTGTGCTTTGAATACTAAGGTAAGGAAAAAAAATCTCCCTTTATGACTACAATTGATAACACCTAGAGTTGATGAAACTTACATCTATTTATGTTAATTTGAGTGTGATGCTATGTTTTAGTTATGGATTGTTTAAATGGGTGTGTTGATTGGTGTATGTTTGCATATGGAGGATGATTATGCCAATTAAGAGATTTGTAGTTGGATGATGTTTTGGCACTTTTTGGTTCTGTAAAAATGGAGGTTTTTATGGCCTTTTATACTTAGAATGATGTGGCAAATACTATGAATGTGCAAATGAATGTGACATGGTTAAAAATGACTAGAATTCGGATTTGGCTTTTTAAGACTTATACTGTGCATGCTTTGCTGAATCAGTCATAAATGAAGTTATAAAAGTCTGATTGAGCTGATTCTTGAAGTATTAAAAAGTTGAGAAATAGACCTAAAACTTTTATGCTTTAGCCAAAAATCAATTCAAATTGGAAGATGAGGAAAAAATTGCTTGAAAAGTGACAAACTTTATGGCATCCACCTCCTTAATAAAAATTCCCATCTTTTTTATAATTTCTAATAAACCACTGAATAATCTTACTGTTGAAATTCCTTGTGTTGTATGAGAAATTAAATGAATTAATCTAATCAATTTAATAGGAAAATATTCATGTCATGGAGTTTTGCTAAATTGATTGGTGAATTGTGCAATTGGCCAAGGGTACATGTTAAATGAATGAATAGTATGATTGAGCATGGGAGATGTTATCCCATATGTTTGCATTCATAATGGTAATGCATATAGCTTATTTAGTTGACTTATAAAAAAATTATGAAATGTTAAAGAATGAATTTCATGAATCTCTTGAGGTATAAACCAAGATCAGAGGAATGGAACCTTTGTGGAAACCATGAGTCCTTTGAGGTGACGACCAAGAACAAGGTAATGGTTCAAATGAATCAGATCGGATAATAAAAACTAATGAAAACATCAAGTACAAAGACAAAAGAAATAGGCATGCCATGTTTATGAATATTGCATAAGTCATATATGTTCTATGTTATATAATGTATGGTTATGTTATGACTTATGTTTATGAGGAAAGTCCAAAGTGTATGACATGTTTTATGAACTTGATAATGTCAATGAATGAAGATCATGTCTTGTAGGTAGGTAAGGTCCTGAGTAATATGCTTGTATAATGAACCTTAATAGTTTACGAATGGCCATATTCCCTTACTGAGCAATTAGCGCTCACCCCACGAAATTTTTTTTAAAATGTTTTACAGGTAAGGATTGAAGCTTGAATCTGGAAGAGGCTACTGGGGAATGACATGCGCATGAAGGAATGCTTATGCTATGTTTTGAATTTTTGTTGTAAAATAACATCAAATGGTTTTTGGTTTATGGATGTTGAAGTAAATATGTTTTAATAGACCTAGTATGACCATTTCCTTGTCAAATGAATGAAAAAGGGTTAAATGATATTAGTAAATGATATTATATACTTATGACATTAACTCCGTAGGAAGCTAAATTTCTTGAATCATTTTATGGATATGGGATGTTTAATATCATGCTTTAAAAAATAAAAATAAAAATAAAAAAATAATAAAAAGTATAGGTTTTGAAACAAACTCATTTCCTAGGCGTGTTTTTTCTAGGTTCTCGATGGCCAAGGGATACTTAAGAAATACCCGGCTAGGGAGGGATTTTACATGATCTCAGCCATTGCCTATTAGTCTGATCCGACGACTCTCATCAATCCAACAAGTCAACCTATAAAACAAGACAAGTTTACAGAATTACACAATTCATTCATTCCTCTTTTGCGATCAAATTGATCTGGTAGGGTTTATTCTTTGGGTATTCTCAAATTTTGTAATCAGGTCACAATCTTTAATTGTAATTGTGGGTAGAAGAATAGGGTTTTGTCACGACCGGGGGCTATCCTCTATCTTGCCACCTTCGGGCTCAAAGGCTTTCCCCGCACGTCGGACACGTCTAAGGTATTGTCCACTTTGGGAATGGGCCATATGTTACTTGGCCAAGGTATAAGTCCAAGGTTCAAGTCATGAGGGAGGCATTCGCAAGGTGGAAAAATACCACGAAGCGAAACAAATCTGTGAGGGTCCTAAGGAGGCGTGACCAGAAGGACCCAAAGCGGACAATACCTTAGACATGTCAGGCGCGCGGGGAAAGCCCTTGAGCCGAAGGTGGCAAGATAGAGGATAGCCCCCGGTCGTGACAGTAAAAAGGCTCATGTTACTTGGCCAAGGTATAAGTCCAAGGTTCAAGTCATGGGGGAGGCGTTTGTCAGCTGGAAAAAAGACCATGAAGCGAAACAAAGCCGTGAGAGTCCGAAGGAGGCGTGGCCAGAAGGACTCATACCTTGGACATGTCCGACGCGCGGGGAAAGCCCTTGAGCCCGAAGGTGGCAAGATAGAGGATAGTCCCCGGTCATGATAGGTTTCTTCAAGGCAGAGAAGCTAGATTAAGGTTCTCTCTAGGATTAAGGATTATAGTCTGATTTGAGGGATTTTTGTGAGTGAGTGATTTGGGAATTGGGTGAACTATCTTGTAATCTTGTATGTTCTTGATCCTTATAGTGCAGTGAGCCCCAAATTTCTTAAAGCTGAACGTGGATGTAGCTTATTCCATTGGAATAAGTGAACCACAGTAAAACCTTGGTGTTCTTGCTTCTTTGTTGTTTTATTTCGTGTATGTGTGTGTGTTGTTGTGGTTGTTGGTAGAATTGATTAGGTTGAGATCAGTTTTAGCATAAAAGCCTTTCAATCCCATAATTTGACATTAGAGTGCATATCCAAAATGTAAACATCAAGTTGAGAATCAAGTGCCATGAGTTCTAAATTAGAAAAATCTTCTAAATAAAGTTCAGCAAGGCACATCAATTTTTGCTTATCAAAAGCAACAAAAGATTCATTTGGGCATAAACATGCCAAACAAATAAGCATAAATGTAAAACTTGTTAAAGAAATTTAAAACTTAAGGAGGGTCAACTGACCCTCCTTGACACCCACATCCCCCGTCCACCCCAATCCCGTCCCTAAGTGTGTGTGTGAGAGGCTTTAATTATACGTTGTGAAGCAATTGTGGGTAAAGGTTTAATAGCACCTGTATGAAAGTTATTTGTATTCGATTTGCTTGGTTGGGTGATAGTGGAATACTCCAAGAGGGAAAGCTTGGAGGAGTGGACGTAAGTTTGTATTCGATTTGCTTGGTTGGGTGATCAACCAAAGGAGATAGTGGAATACTCAAAGAGGGAAAGCTTGGAGGAGTGGATGTATGTAACGCCCACATTGAGGTACGTAGCTTGTTTTTGCTTGTTTGCCCTTAGTTATGTTTGTATGCCCTTTAGTTTTGCTTGGTTACCCTTAGTGTTGCTTGCTTNATCATATGAACAAGACAATGTTAGGGCTACAAAAAATATCTAAAAACTAAACTGAATTGGAAAATTGGACCAAAAAACTGGTTTTTCATAGTAACCAGTTTGGTTTCGATTTGCAAAATTGGGAAAACTGAAAAACTAGTTCGGTTAACGGTTCAAGTGTAATTTTGAACCGGTTAATCGAAACCAGTTTAATTGGTTTTCCCCAAAAAAATTAACATCACTATATTATATTTTCATTTTATCATTTTCCCCATATTTATCCAGTTAAAACTAGTTCAAGTGCCATTTTTTCTTCTCTCGATGCCCGTAAATATTGTTTTTAATTAATTCCAAGAACACTAAACCATATTTAACTAATTAAAACTCATGTCAAACTATTCTTAGAGAGATCCTAAATAGATTTCTAAAGAATTAAGAAGGTTACAATGATGTATTCATTGTAGGAGA